CAGGCTACTTATGTCCTGTTTCAATAACAGTTGAAGACCTGAGCTCTACTGAGAGTAACGAGGAAAACGACGCTGGTGTTGCTGAATCCACGAGAGGCGATAGACGGGAAAGAGTAGTTCCATCTAAAGAGACTTTCAATCTCCAAGTTAAAAAGGTAAAGAAAAGGTCTGGAGCACATGGTAGCAGTGCAATCGATATGAATGGGGGCAAGGCTTCCCTGCCAGCGGATACGCCTGCTTCGCTGTATGTCAATCTGGGGACTCAGCCAGATCAACAACATACCTCGTTGTATCAAAACATAGACGCAATTCCCAAAGAGACGAGCTCTAAAAATGAAGAATATGTGGAAAGAACTAAAGCGGCTTGTCCAAATCCAACAGAGAAAAGAAACAGGGCAGTATATCCTAAAGTTAAGAAGGCAGAAAATACGCCTAGACTCGAAGACCAGCTGGTCCCACTGAATCATCAGTTGTATGCAAACTTGGTGGCCAGCGGTGAATTACAGGTCACGTATTTCGTTTAATACGTATAACCTTTAATTGCGGAGCACCATTAAAGCGCTGAAATAATTTGAAATTTGAAATTCAAATTGATTGGGAAAAAACATGTGTGAAATTCCTAAGTCATGCATTGTCAAAGCATTCATGGCGTTCTGTAGATAATATGAAGATTTCTTGCAAAGTCCCTTTTAGCATTGTCAATCATGCCTGCGTTGTATCTCAAACTTACAGAGGTATGGCCGTTTTCATAAGGACCCTTACTTTTAGTAGTTTCAAAGGGAACGATTTCAATTTTCAATTTTTCCCAGTAGATTACGAAATCAAAATTTCGGACATAACACTCAGTGAGATCATACCTCTGCTCGGCTACAAGTTTGTCATAAGCATTATACATATTACCGATTCAGTGAAAAGTGTATAGGTATATACATATATGCATACATATAAGGTATATGCATCAAATATATCCATTTTAAAGAAAATCATTACGGCACTGAAAATACTGAGGGAAGTAGAAACGTATTTTAATACACTGAATGTACGAGGACTTAAATTTTCAATTTCTTGTCTCTTTTTTAGAGCAGATGTAGTGATTATTTTGTAGTTACTTTTATATTCCTATATACATTGAACAATTTAAATTTATCAAACTTTGAGGAGTAGAGTCGAACTTTTCCCCTAACTAACACTGTCCACATCACATCTTTTTGTGGAAACAAAAGTTGCATAAAACAAGAACTCTTTTCAAAATCCGTAGTAATTGCACCTACTATAGTGAAATACTGGATTGCTCCACGCGAAAAAGTAACCTCCTCAAAGCAGCAGCCCTATTCATGTGCGCTACTAAAAATCGCGGCAATTCTTTACGAAGTAGAAACCAAACTATTAGAGTGGACTTAAATCATATAACAAACCAGACTAATTTAGGCTTTATTGCCTAATTTACACACCTTTTGGAGTACTTTATATGTACTTGCACCCTAAGTCTACTGGATTACTTGTCAGCCTGAACAAAGCATAATTACTCACTGATATTCCACAAGATGACCATTAACTTTTAGAAGGTTCGATAGAAACAGAGACTCCCTTGTTTGATGAACCAATCAATTTTTGGATTTAGTAATGATAGCACAACTGATGGCGACAGATTTTATAATTATGATAATAAATACTCTTTTTGTGTTTAATGACGTTCGTTATAGTTCGATTGTGCATTGCCTGTCTGACACTGTTCACAAAAATAAATGCGCATATAAAAGTTTCGGCTAAATTGAAGATGTCTTAGTCCGCAGTTTTGTCAAACAATGGCTAAACTTTGTTGAAATAACTGGCTCTTTTTGTGACTTGGGGACTTTTGTACTAATTACAGGCTAGTTTAATACATTGATTGCAAATAGTTCGTGCAGATTAGCTACCCACTCTCCCTCCTTATGGAACCGTTATTGGCCTTTTGAGAGATTTCTTTTGGTTATAAAAGCCCTTCATATCTACATTGTCAAGTGACGTTTTAGTTTGTCACTCTCTGGATATCACAGAGAACATTTTTAGTACCGTATAAAATGGAATCTCGGGGTTTCAAATGCAAATTTTTGCCGGGTCAAAATCAATTAAAGGATTAACCTTTACTCATGGGATTACAGAGAAAAGCAAACACAGTCAGGACAATTTGCAACCGCCGCGGATTCGAAACATTTCTGCTCATGCAGATGAAAATGTGATAAATGAATACCAAAAAACCCCTTAAGCATTAAAATGACAGTTTTTTGTTTTTGTTGTTATATTTTAGTGACGCCCTGTGATTCCTTTGATAGCTTTAGCCTTAGTGTCACCTCAGATATCTGCTAGAGGCTGATCGTTAAGTCAACAAGCTAAATTGAAATGGGGTTTTTCCCATGAATTGTTGAATTGAATGAATTGTTGAGTTCGTTACTACTTGAATTAACCTTTCCTATGCACTAGGCTTTGTATCATTACTAGATGAAAATGTGATAAATGAATACCAAAAAACCCCTTAAGCATTAAAATGACA